TCACCGAGGGGAGCCCCCGCGAGACGGCTGGCCCGTCAAACACACACCTCCTGAGCGTCAGAAGCCAGTCATCCCGTGCTCGGTAAAAGTTGGCAACAAAGTCTTCGGGAGACGCAGTGACTCCCCTGATTAGTGTGGGTGCACAGGGTGCTCCCAAGACCCAGGGCAAACCACCACGCTGGTCGCACCCCTCCTGTTTCTCAGAATAATCTGCATGCCATTTAGACTGCACGTTCATAATAAATAATTACACCCAGTTATTTTTTAAATTACTATTTGAGCCAAGCTTAAAATGATCTCCTACACCTACCACATAGTAGGTGCTCACCGGAGCACCTTTCATCCCCTAAGAACTGGACACCACCCCGACACCCGGCAGCAGGGCTGAACCAATACCGGAACATCCAGGGCTGGAACCTGAAAAAGCTGTCACAACATGCTTCCTTTTCACACATTAAAAAGCATCACCAGAGAATTCTACTACTTAGTCCCCCATACTGGACTATGGAACGGGGTCAGACAGGCCAGGTGGACGGATCCCCGCACCACAGCTAAACAGCAGTGTCCCCCAGGCGAGTCAGGACCCACGGTCCAGAGAGGTGACCGATGCGGTCATGGGAGAGGAGGGACCAGATGCCAGGCCTCAACCAGACAAAAATATCTCTTCTGAAAACTCATTTGCAGAAAATGTTGGCTCACAAAGCAATTAAACAATGCGCTTTCAAAGCTTCACAGAATACGGCACGGTCGTAACCGCGGCGGGGCTGGGCATGTAACTTCAAAGAGCTTCAAGCTGCCTTAGCAGCACTACTGAACTGTCTGGTGTTCGAATGAGGACTTGTCAGTGAGTGTATAAGGTCTGTAAGATCCTATACCATGGATTAAAAGTCTACTCCCTGGCCTAAGCATTTTTGGGAAATGAAAGAGAACAGACTTCACCCTGGTCTCTGCACGTGGCAGGGTGATAACCGGAGAACCAAATCCCCTCACAGGATCCGGGGATGGAGCCCAAAGGACCACCCCCAAATCAGACTCACGGCCACACAAAAGCTGAACAAGCTGCTCTCTCCAGAGGGCTGGAGGGCACAGTGCTGCCACGCCACCTCCAGGAAGGACCGGATACCCTCCTTCCTCTTCACACAGCCCACAGGGAGAAAGCAAGACCTCCCGCTACCGATTTCTGCCCATTAGATGAACATACAATCTGACTATATTTTCCTTGTTTTCCCGTTCTACATATGTCAAAATAAAGACATCTGTTCGTGACACCACTAGGAAAATTGTAAAAGAAAAAAATCCAACCAAAACTTTGATTTCTTAAACTTTAAATGTGTTACATAAATGAGTCTGCAAATAAACTTTCCTATCAATTAAAAAAACATTTAACATATAAACTGCAAGAAAGCAAATCTTCTAGGTACATTTGCGTCGTCTAAACGAACATTTTAACCCCTGACTGAAAACCAACCCCCTACTACTAAATGGTCCTAAACCCAAAAGGTATAAGGGCTGGTTCTAATGGAGGAAAATTCGAAAACTGTGTCACAGTCGAAAGCGGAAAGTGAAGCCAAATCGGTTAGCGCCAGGTAGGGGCGATCCCCGAGACCCGTAGGCACAGCCCTCCCTTGCCGGCCTAAACACAGGGGAAAGTCCCCGCCCCCACCGGTGCTCACGGAAACAATTCAGAGTAAAAATATGGTCCCCTGTACAGGTGCCAGGCGCTGGAAAGGAAAGGGGACCCCAAGGGGAGGCGGAGAAGGCCAAGTGCAAGCCAAGTGCAGGCCAAATGAAGGTTAAGGGAGGCCAGGGGAGGCCGGGGAGGCGGCGCGCACTCACTCATCGCCGTCGGGGCACACGCCGCTGGCCTCGTCATACTTGGAGCAGTACACGTCTGGGCTGTAGTTGAACGTGCCGTCGCGCCTGCGGAGCGGTCTGCGCCGACGCTGATTTAGGAAATGCCAATGGAAACAGGTAAATGGCCTGTGCTGGGTGCACTTGTGCTGCACAAACAGGGCGCACTGCTCTGTCCTAAACTCCTTTAGATACCTAAAAAGACAAACAGCGTTGCGGGTCGCTTCCGCCGCCGGCAGGCGGCCCCGGTGACTCGTAGGCGGGGCCCACCCCAGGCGCGACCCCCACGCAGAGTCCGGGCAGCCGCCTCCAACCCCAGCCCCCAAACCCTGCCTCGGCGCGTTCCTCGGACGCAGGGCACGGACCCCGACCCGAGAGGGATTCCCGGCCCCAGGCGGGAGCCCCCTACTCCGAATCCAGGCGGCCCTATTTCACCCTCCAATCCACCCTCAACCTGGGCGCGTTCCGTGGTCCCCTACCCCAGGAGAAGCCCCCATTCCGACCACAGACGCAACCCCCAAAAATTCAGGCGCGACGCCGCGACCCAGCCCAGGTGCCATCCCCGACCCCAGGCGGAGGCAGCCCGAGTCCAGATGGCTGCCCGCCCCCTCGAGCCCAGGCGCATTTTTCGCGGTCCCCGACCCACGACTCTGGCTGCGTCCCCCAGCCCCCAGGCCCAGATGCCACCCGGACCCGGGCCACCGCCTCCAGACCTCAGGCGGCGGCAGCCGGCTCGGAACGTGGGCCGCGGCCCGGAGCCCAGGCGCGGGGCGCGGGGGGCGGGGGGCGGCGCGGGCCCCAGGCCGCACCCGGCAGCGGCATCCGGGCCCGGGGCGGGGGCGCAGACGCGCGGGCCGGGGGACGCACACTCCCGCCCGCCGCGGCCGCCGGGCGCTGACCTGTAGTGGGTCGGCTTCTCCGTCTGCGGGGGGGACCCGCTCAGCGCCGCCGCCGCCGCTTTCGAAACCGACGGCATTTTCAGTCAAAACAATGCAGCGCGCATGCGCCGCGGGCCCGCCCCCGCCCCTCCGGATCTGCCCGCGCCGAGCCCCCCGCGCCCTCCACCCCGCCGGCCCCGCCCCGGCCGACAGGACACGCCCCGGACACGCCCCCGCCCCCGCGGGACAGGCGGCCGCGCGCGGACCCCGGACTCGGTGCGAGGGACACTCCCCGAACGCGCCGCCGCTGCCACTCGTGTGCCTCCCGGGTCCGCATCGCCCCAACCGGCTCCGCGTCCACACGCCCCGGGCCCAGTCCGTCGGTCCCTGGACCTCGGCCCCTGGTCCCACGCACACACCCCGCAAGCCCCGCGCAGCCCTGGGAACAGATGGAGCCGGCAGGTGCCCGGCGCAGACCCCGTGCACAGCCTGCTCACACTGGCACTTCACCCTTCCGTCCACGCGGACCCGGAGGCAGGGGCCAGCGTGCCAGGATGGGGGCAGATGGGCCCGGCTGCCCTTGGTACGGGAGTTCCTTATAGGGCGCACGAACAGGTCCTAAAACGAGCTTGCGGTGATGGTGCCCCAGTGACTATACTAAACGCTCTTTAATTGCATAAATGGGTGAGTAATATGTGAACTATGTTATCAATAAAGTTGACTTTGATAAAGGAATCCAGAAGGCTTACAGTCATCCCACCTTGAAGGTGGGATGGGGGAGGGTGGGAATTCGGGGAGCAGGCAGCAGCTACCAGGACCCTGGGGAGCAGCTGCAGACCACGCCCTGGAGGAGGAAGGAGGAAGGGCGACCTCAGGCCTAAAGCACATTATTTTGTAAATATATGGCATAGGAGACATTATTTTAAATGTTCAACCTCACTAGTAATTTTTAAAAATACAAATTAAAACAATGAAGAGCCCATGGGCAGGCTGCGCCCCCTCTGGAATGACAAGCAGCGCCAGGGGGCTGCGAGCAAGGCACGTAGGGAGCAAGTGTGGCCGGGAGGGCTCCTGGGGACCGACCCTCCTGCAAGATAACGTGTTCCATTTCTAGGAACTCTGACCTAAAAGAGTCAGAGGAAGATCAAGATTTATGTACAAAGATAATACCAGCCATTTAGCAAAAACTTGAGGGCACCTAACAGCCCGGTCGTCAGGAAATGGTTGAATTCTGAGACCTTTGCCAATGAGAATTGTCAGTGACATGGGACATGCTACTATTTAGGTGAAAAATAAAACATGGCCTAACAGTTCCATACATTTGTTCCCAAGTATGTTATTTTTTGAAACACAATATAGCAAAATAACAAAAGCTATCACTTGCAGGTTGGTCATCTTCCTATGTTCACATTTTCTAAATGACTGAATACTTCTACAAACATAATTTTAAACCCGATTGAAACATTAGATTTAAACCCACAACATGGCGTTTCCAGAAAATCAAGCAGAATGAATCGGGGGAGGACAGGGCCCGGGAACTTGAAGGTGGGATGAAAAGAGCGTGAAGGCTGCTGGAGGTGGGGAATGAGAAGGAATCCAGGACAATTCCAGGGTCCCCTGCTTGGAAGGATACAGAACAAAGAAACAGGAGTGGGGAGACGAAATCTATCCTGGACCTAAGGAGTCTGAAGAATCTGTAAAGCCCAGTAGAGATGTGCAGAGAGCCACCTCGAGCTCAAAAAAGGAAATTTGAGACTCAAAGGAATGTGGGGATCTTTGCTGTAAAAGTGGAAGACACCCACTGTCCTCCTGACCCGAGGCATCTTCCTTGGGGATGAGAGAACTGGTGAGCTGTAAACACTCAGGGTCACGTGCCATGCTTGGTGGAATGTTCGTGAGGCTGAGGCAGCACCCAGACATGACCGCCGCAGGGTTCTTGCTGCGCACTCAGAAGCGTTTACATTTTGAGGGGGAAACGCACAGCACCGCCAGAGCCTTCCAAGACTGCTCAGCAGCTTAGGAGACAGGAGACTATTAAGCTAACATCTCCTTCCTTGAAATTTTATCAAGTTTTCTCCTCCACTCAACAATTTCTCATCTCACCCCTCACTGCGGCCGCTTCTGTCCTAGCATGCCTACATGGGTCCACTCCTGCTCATCTCCTTACTGGGGGCTTCTCCGGGGCAGTCCCCAGCACCCTCAGAAAAGTAAAAGCTACAGCTCAGTTGGGGAAATAAGACAGGCGCAAGACAGAAATGGCCAAATAATAGAAGGGCTAAAACAACGGTTTACTTATTCACTTGCTCTGCAGCCACCCCTTTGAAAAGCACAGGTGTCAGGAGGGTACGACCAAAGTCACCAGCTGGCCTTGGGTCCCCCTTTTGCTCATGACAAAGCCCATCCCTACCTGAGGATGGCCACCCTGGAGGCACTCAGGACCTGTTGCATGTGGTGTGATGTATCCTCAAAAGCACAACTCCACTGTGTTCCTGAAAAACTGTCTATTTACATACACACAAAAAACATGTGGGAAGACCCACCACAGCGATCACAGTGGCTATCGGAGGCAGCAGGGCTGCTGGCGTCTCTCATTCTCATCCTTTTGCTCATAAAGTGTCTGTCTTTTCCAGATGCATCATCTTGCATTTTCTGTATCACAGTCACTTCTAATTAAAACAAAAAAATTCTTCTCATTAGTTTTGGACTTTTTTCCTGCACGAGCTAGTGAGAGCAAAGTATAGGTTCAGTTTGAATGACTATTGCTGAAACAAAATAACACAACCAAACAGGTCACAACCATGCCAGGCCAGAAAGGTGGTCTTAGTTTCTTGCTCCTACTGACAGTGTAGCCTGAGCTATGTTTAGGTCAAATCCTGGTCTCTCCATCTTTAAAAAGTGAATATACTTGTATACGCCCCACCTCCCTGAGAAATATAATTTACCGAGGTTTGCCAGACATTTAGAGCACTTCTGCAGAGGTCTCGTGAGAAGCCATTCTATTGCCATACAGCCAGTGGCCCTCGAACATCAAGGGGAGAAACCTCCAAATAACTTTGGCACCAAAGACATACAAAGATAAAACCTTCCACTAGAAGCTTAAGTAAATAAAAGCTTCCCTTTATTATTTTGTATTTAATTCTGAATTAAGGTTTCCTATTAGGCAGTACTTGGAAAACATATTATCATTTACTTACTCAAAATATCACCCTGTAATATTTGTCAAAAGAAATACTCCTCAGTTTCATTCTAGTAAATCGTTGCTTTGCTAAAAATAGAGATTCGCAGAGCTGAGAAAAGTTCATTATTTCTGGTACTGTTTGACAATGTATTCCACAATTCATATAGACTTATTTCCTCAATTCCTATTGTGGAAAAAAAGGTAAACAAAAGAATTGATGGGAGGGCTTAAAAGGCTTCCTTTTTTAATGAGATGCAAAAACAAAAAATGGGGGGGGGGGCACGGGACGGTGTGGGGGGGCACTTGGCTTAATTTCACATCACCAAATTAAGACTTATTGTCGATTTGTTAGTTTGTAAAACTAACACCAATTTATACCCACCACAGTACATTATAAAATAACAAGGTTAATAGCTCTTCTGCCAGTTACTCTGTGTCAGAAAGCGAATGAGCTGCAAACTGGTTTACACTGGATTACAGGTATCACCAGAACTGCTCCCAAAACATGGCAACGCTGTACAAAGACCACAAATCCAAAAGCACACGCTGCAACCGACACCTTTCCTCTGGATCTGAAATCTTTTGCACGGATTCGCTGGGCATCGACTATCAGGCAAAGAGCCGGCTGCGATCTGCTGGCATTCTGCTCTGCTTCCACGGGGGTCAGCGCGGCCAGGCGCGCCACCCAAGTCCGTCAGTTCGGGGACGCGTGTAAGCAGGACAGAAACGGTCAAACGCAACGTCGAAGCCTACGGACGGATGCCTGTTCCCTCGCTGAGCGCCGCGGGCGCCGCCCTAAGCTCTCGCCCTGGCGGCGGCCGGAGTTCCGTGCGCCTCAGGACGATCGCTGGGCTCCGGCTCCTGTTCCTCCAGCACCTGTCTCAGCCAGTGATCCGCGCCGGTCTCCCGCCTAAGGAAGCACCAGACGACCAGAACCAGGAGGGCCAGGCTGCAGGGCAGGACCCTCCACCAGGGTCTCTGCTGCTCCCTTCCCAGGGAACGCTCCACTCTCCAGCAGGACGGGCTGGCTCTGCTGGAGGAAAAGTGAACGGCACGACTGAGGTCGTCCTCCTCGCCCCGGGCCGTGGGCTGGGCGCGAGCCCCGGTACCGGGAGGCGAAGGCAGGCTTCCGGAAGCCCTGCGCCCTGGCCTCAGCACCCGGACGGCCCTGGAAGAGAGAGGGAGAGCAGTGAGCGGGCCGCCCGCCGCTGCCGCCCTCAGCCCGCCGCCACCGCGCGCAGCTCACCTTGCCGCGGGCACACTGAGGACCCGGTTCATCGTGACCCGGGTTCCTCGATGGGCGCTGCGGCGCGCCACATTTGCGTCACTTCCGTCGCGCGAACCGGAAAACCGTTTGCCGTTCGAGGCCTCCGCTTACGACGGCGGAACGTGGGCTCAGTCGCGCAGCGGAAATAACGCACATCCTCCGGCGGCCTCTTCCGTCTCAGGCCCGCCCAGCTGGCCGCGAGGCGTGCCGGGAAGTGTAGTTCGCCGCCCGCCGAACAGGCTTGGGGCCGGTGGATCCCTGAGCTCCAGGAACAGGCTCGAGGCTGGCCGGCGGGGACGGGGCGCCGGTCGTCCTCCGCGAGGTCGCCTCCGAGTGGGTCTCCGTCAGTCCGGGCTTGGTCACTGGGCCGAGAGCGGCGCCCATATCCGCACCCTTCTTGCGCCGCGGGCGCGGTCCCTGGACTCCCCCTCCCCGCGGTCTGGCGGCGCCGTTTGCTCGCCTCCCGGGACTTCCAACCACAGGAGTCATCGTGTCCCCTCGATGGGTGCCCCCGTCAGGCGGGAGCTGCCCCAGCCCGCGCTGCGCCCAAGCCTGCACCGTGGGGACCGCAGCCCCCGCCCGCGCCCCGGCGCCCGGCGTTGCTCGCGGCCGCGCTTGGAGGGCTGCGTGGGTCCAGCCACCGCGCAGGAGCCGGAAGCGTGGCGCCTCCTCCCCGGGAGGCAATCGTGCCCGCGGGCCCGCCTGTCCACGCCAGCAGGACCGCGCGTGCGCACGGCCTAGCCCAGCACCCTCTGTAGACGAGGCTGCAACGGCCCCTGGGGTCCTCCGCGCGCCCCACAGGAGTCGGGCCGAGAGGGTGACCCTCAGGCTGGCCCGGGCTTTCTGCTCTACCCGGTTCCCCAGTCAGCTTCCCAGGAGCCTTCAAGGCTCTGCTGAGCCGCCCTCCCTGAAGACCACAGAGGAGCTTCAGCACACCGGGCGCCATCACAGACTCTGGGGATATAAGTGCGTGTGTTGGGGGCGCGGGGGTGACCTGCTGACTAAATCCGATCATGAGGCCACCTTGTGCTGCCTCCCTAGTTAATCACCTTTGCCTCTGGAGCACCCCTGTCCTGTACATGCTTCCTGGCAGGAGAAGCGCCAGCCTCAGGGCCCAGTTCTGAGCCCCCAGGAAGGGCAAGGGTGGGGGCGGAAGGTGTTCAGAGCTCGGCAACATATGGAAGCCCAGCCCCGACACCCGCTGGCAGCTCAGCTCCCAGCCCAAGGCTGTGTTCAGAGCGACTGTGTCAACAGAGGCACCTGTGTGCCCAGGTCCTTCTCACTGGGCCCCACCCCACCTGTTCCAGTCCAGCACCCCACCCGGGATCACTGCCAAACCAACTCATCACAGGAGACCCAGGAGCACCCTCTGTGGGCAGGACAAGGGGGCTTGACGTGTGGGGAGGATGAGCCAGAATCCTGGTGTGCAGCCTGAAGGGCTTCCTAGAGGAGTTGGAGATCAAAGAGCTCCGAGGTCAGGGATGCAGCTGCTGACTATTGCTGCCGCAGCTACCTCGTTAAGATGCTTTAGGGCATCTGGGCACAAGCTGCCCCGGGACAGCAGAGTTGGGGCAGAGCTGGGAGGCAGAGGCAAGGGCTGAGGCTTCATCCAGGGTGAGGCAGCCTCCGAGGCGCCACTAAATCCACCTCAGTCTGCAACACCGCCTTGGATGGATGACAGAAATAGGACACCTTGGACAGGTGACTTGACCCTGCAGCCTCTGCTTCCTCCCCTGTAAAATGGGATCGTACACCCATCGGGCTGCTGCAAGGACCTTTTCTATGCAGGAGACCCTGGCAGTGCCTAGGACAACTGTTAGGATTGCTTAGGGGCCAACAAGGGCATGCCCTTCCATCCTGTGGCAGTGGAGCCACCAGGTTCCTAGCGGGGCTGACCGGCTGCAGTCTGGGAGGAGCATCACATGCCCACAAGGCAAGCGAATCCACGTGTCCAAACAACCCCTCTTCTGTCCCCAACTCCTGCTACCACTTGGTCACCGTTGTAGGTGAAGGCACTATGCAACAGACACGGGGCCTGTAGGGTCTTACCCGGACAGCAGCCCCACACTCCGGGAGCCAACCTAGCGCTCACAGCTGGGATCTCCCGTGGACATAAACAATTTCAGAAAACATCAACATTGGCCAACTCTGTGACCACGATGGCTCACGACAAACCGAGAGCCCTCTGTAATCACACTGAACACGACCAAGATGTGAGCATGGTCCAAACCTCAAGGCACACCAAACACCCAATCCTGGATGACAAAGGGATGGCTGTCCTTCACCAGGCACGGCTGGAGCCCCACCTTGCCTGCCCTCCTTCTGTAAGATGTACTAAGAAGCTGTGCAGGGCTGATGGTGTTCCCCCAGATCCACATCTGCCTGGAACCTCCACACACACACTTGACTGGAAATAGGGTCTTTGTGGGTGTAATTAGTTAATGTGAGGTCACACTGGATGGGGTGGCCCTAAATCCAGTGCCTGGTGTCCTTATAAGAGGGGAAGAAAGTTGCAGACACACAGGGAGATGGCCGCGTGGAGAGGAGTCGGAGGGGGCTGGAGCGCGGCGTCCCCAAGCCCGGGGTGCCTGAGAGGGAGGCCGGCGCGGAATCCCTGCTGGGTGCTTCATGGGAGTGCGGCCCTGCCAGCATCTTGGTCTCTGGCCTCTGGCCTCCGGAACTGCGGAAACAACTTCCTGTTGCTTTAAGCCCCCTAGCTTGTGGTCCGCTGTTATGGCCACCCCAGGAGACTAATAAAGGCCTCAACTGCAGTCACCCAGCTTCCTGACACAAATATTGCAGAGCAGAGCCCCTCACACAATGCAGCCTGAGCCCACAGCTCCGGAGACACCTGGCTGTGGTGTGTTCTCCCTCACTTAAACCCACCTAGTCCAACAGGTGTGTTCCCAGTGGCCTGTGGCTGGAGGGCAATGCTGCCCGAATGCTGTGGGTATCTGACCCTCCCATGCAGTGGAGCCCAGAGCAGGAAAAGCCACAACCAGTTGTCCAGGGCCGTGCCTCTAGGCCCTCCCCACTGACCCAAGCAGGCCCCAGCTGGGCCCTGGGTGACAGGTGCCTGGCCTGGTGTCGCCTGCTCTAGTCTGCGGTCTCCCCTCCCCAACCCCTCAGGGGCATAAACCAACACCTCAGCCTTCATTATCTCAAAGCATACAGGGAAACCTGGACAAGAGGCCTAACGTCCCGTTAATGGGCGGGGAGGCTGCAGCCCTCCTGTGCCCAGTGGTGGGAGTAATTCACTGTAGCGCCACTTGAGAGCTGACATATTGGAGCTATTGATTTTCTACGGGAAGATCAATACAGGGTGCGTGGGGACTGGCAGGTCTGCTGCCTTGAGGAGAGCAGAGCTTTCCTCCAGGACCGAAGCCTTACCACAGGGGAGAGGGCTGCTGGGGCAGGGTGGACACAGAGCCGCCTACAGCTGGAGGCTGCCTGCCATGGGAGGCCAGATGGGAGCAGCTGCTGGGACACATGCTCAGCCCCCAGCCCTGTCCAGGGGCCTTGGGACACCCATGCCACTCGGCCTGGCCCCGCCAGCCACCCAACACCTGGCTGAACCCGTGTGGCAGAGAGCAAGGAGAGGATACTTCACTGACACCCCAAATAACCCCGACCCGGCCTCGCCCTCAGCTGTCCCTAGCCACCCCGTGTAGACCCTGGGGCTGCTGCAGTAGCCCTCTCCCCATGGTCTGGCCTCAGGCTGCTCTGTCCAGATGCCAGGTCCACACTGTGCTGCACAGGCCCCTTCCCAAACACCTGTCTGCCCCAGCATCTCCCCCACTTGAATTCCCTTGTCCACACTGGGCTTTCCTTCTTGGCCTCTGCTCGGGCAGAGAAAAGCACTGGGATTGTGCCAGCCAAGGAGGATCTCCCCCGTGCTGGCACGTGTGGACAGCCTCCCCGTGGCTGGCACGCGCGGACAGCACCTTGCTGGGCCATTGCAGGACCCAAAGCCCCAGCCATGGCCCCAGCCCCACTGACTGGGGGCCTGAGGCCAAGACAGGAAAGTAGGCCTGTGGGGTGGGGGGTGACAGGGGCCCCATTATCACCCCAGTATTTGGCTGCAGAGATGGAGGGAGGGGCAGAGTCCTGGCTCCCTGCACTGGGAGGAAGGGCCAGACCCCGTGCCCAGGGCAAGGGGGCCTGCCCACCACCCGACCCTTTTCAGTCAACGCTTCCAGCTCCTGCTGGCGCTGAACAAGTGAGCCATGCCGAGTGGCCTAGAACATCACTGATTTTTATCATGCGATCCTGGAGGTCAGACGTCCAGAATGGGTTCCCCTGATCCAAAACCAAAGAGGCTCCAGGGGACGGTCACTCCACTTCCAATCGCCTTCCAGGTTCTGGAGACGGATCCAGTCCTTGACTGTGGAGCCCGCCGCCTTCAGAGCCAGCAGTGACCGTGCCCCAGCCCCCTGGCCTCCCTGGATCACCTCCCACTTTGGGGCCCTCACTCCCCTGGAGGCCTGGGTCTTTCCCAGGCTGCGCCCTCTTCTGGACACCTTTGCTTCCACGGCTGGGCCAGGTGAGGGCCCTCCTTTGCCCAGCGGGGGAACCTGAAGGAGGGCAGGGGAGTCTCACCTTCCTGGCCCCCCTTGCAGCCCAGCCTGCAGGCACAGGTGCGGGCCTGAGCCTTCGCCCTCCCCGCACTTCCCGCAGCCCCTGCAGCCCCACCTCCTCCAGCCGGGTCCCCAGTCCGTCCCCAGGCCCCCGCCCTGCCTCTCCCTGAGCAGCAGGGGGCGCCGAGGCTGCATCAGGGTAGCTGCTGGTCCCTCCCTGGGGTCGGACACAGTCCGCAGTGGGCAGGGCAGGACCTCCCCAGGCCCGGGGCCCCAGCAGCTGGGGAGCCACCTGGGACCCTGAGCCTGGGCCCCCCGCAGGTCTTGGCTGACAGGTAGGCTGCACGGGGTGAGAGGGAGGGCACTTCCTGGGATGAAAAGTATCCCCCAAGCTCATCTACCTGAACCTCAGAATGTGAGCTCACATGGAATAGGGTCTGTGCAGACATGGTCAAGTTACAGTGTGGTCAGCCTGAGTCCAGCAACAGGCCCTTCACAGAGGGAGCTGGACAGGCTGTGGCTGGAGCAGGGCCGCCCTACAGCCTGGATCCAGACAAGCGTCAGCAGAACCTGGGGTCTGCAGACAGAACCCGGGCCGTGCCTAAGGCCGATCTCCAGAGGGCTGAGGTTCAAGCACAGACTGGACTTGTGGGCCTGACCCCAGCCAGAGCCCTCCCTGGGGCCTGGCCTCCTCCAGGATGTGGTAAAGGGGCCATACAGGCTAGGGAGTCTGGTGTGTCTCTGCCCCTCCCCTCGCCCTGCAGCCTTCCCCCGGGACCTGCCTGCAGGGCCCTGCACCTCAGGACCCCCTTCCTGGTCCTGCTCCAGGTCATTAGCTGGTTGTGAGACAGCAGTCACCCCGAAGACCCACTCCTGCCCGGTAGCAGGCTTGGCTTGGGGTGGGTCCCATTCTTGGGGCTGAACTTTAATTTCCCTATCACTTCCCTGTGGGGTCAGCCCAGGCACTGAGACCCTCCAGGTGGCCAGATGACTGGCAGCAGTCAGGGGTACCTGGGTCTCTGCCCACACCCCACGGCAGTGACTGGGGGGAACCTGGAGCCGCAGGGCAAGGACCTGGGAGGAGGGGCGAGCCTCCATGGCTGGGGGGCCCAGGGCTGGGGCTCACGCGGAATAGGAGGGGGCTGCTGGCCCTTCCCCAGAACATGGCCCATAAGCCATGGTGGCTCCGATGGGATTTGAGCAAAGTGCCAGCCGCAGCCGCGTCTGGTCACTGACAAGGGGCACTTCCTGGGATGAAAAGTATCCCCCAAGCTCATCTACCTGAACCTCAGAATGTGAGCTCACATGGAATAGGGTCTGTGCAGACGTGGTCAAGTTACAGTGTGGTCAGCCTGAGTCCAGCAACAGGCCCTTCACAGAGGGAGCTGGACAGGCAGCCGGGACAGAGGCCGGATGCAGGCAGGCTGGGTGCCAGGGAGTGCCCCACCAGACACCCAAGGGCACAGCCCTGACCCGCCTCCGCCTCCGCAGGGAGCCAAGCCTGATGCTCCTTGGTTTGAACTCCTGGGTCTCGGAGCAGAGGGTCCCTCTGCCGCTCTCAGCCCCTGCTTGTGGGGAGAGGTTTCGGCAGCCCCAGCCCTCAGCAGAGGGGCTGCCCACCCAAGGGCAGGTGTGCACAGGTGGCAGATACCCCTGGGGTCTTTTGCAGCAAGGACTTGCCCTGAGCACTTTCCAGGTGGGATGGCACCGGGCCCCCAAGGTGTGGGAGCCACAAACCGGGACTGGGGGTGGCGGCGGGAGGGGCTGAGAGGCTGGGCCCCTGGGAGCCCTGCTGGGTCTTCAACCAGCCCCTTCTGGGCACAGCTGGCCAGGGGCCCCTGAAGCTGGAGGGGGCCGGGTAAGGAGCCCCAGGGCCCCACCTGCATGAGCGTGCGCTGGGCCCCGGCCAGGCATCCCAGGGCCTCGTCCCAGGTCCTGTGTTGGCCCCGCACGTTCACCCAGCACGCCGCACACACGGGACACCCTCTAGAGGAGGCTCCTCCAGAAGTCAAAATAGCATGAAATTTAATTTTCCGCCTATTTGACAAGGCTTGGTCTGGGTCCTGATTGGCAGTGGAGATAAGGGTGCTCGGTCCCGAGCGTAAGCCAGCTGGGCCCGCAGCAAACACTCCACGGTCCCTGGGCAGGCTGAGGCTCCCCCCTCGGGGCCCGGGTTGCTGGGCGCTAAAGCAAACGGGCTCTATTTGTCCAGTCTGCGATGACAATGCGCTCACCAAATATTTGTCAGCCTAGCCGCTGTGCGGCCAGGCTATAAATGCCTGAGCCCAGGTGGAGGTGGCCTGCCCAGCAGGAGCTGCGGCCTCAGCAGGTAGGAGCTGGGCTGGGGGCAGGGGTGCTGCTGGGGGGGCTACCCCCACCCTGACCGGGCCTTCTCACCAGGTGGCCAGTGGGCTGTGGGGGCAGCTAAACCTTGGCTCTCCTTGAGTGGCCATCCCCATAGCCCAGTGCTGCAGCAGGGCACCCGGGCAGGGAGGAAGGAGCCCCCTGTAAACACAGAAGTGGCCCAGGCAGGGAGTGGGAGGCCCAAGCAGCCCCTGCCCTGCCCAGGTCGGCCTGAACGATACCCCTGGATTCCCCGACCTCTCTGGCTGGGGGATGTGCAAACTGGGGGACCCCTGTCTCCACACCACCTTCCCTTCCTTTCTCCCTCCTGCCCAGGGCTCTCCCGGCAGAGGGGCAGCCCCCATCCTGGGACGCGGGGCGCTGGGGCAGAGGCAGCCCCACCCGGTCAGGAACCTCCCCAGTCCTGCCCCAGGCCCACGTGCCCTCCCCACAGACCCCACCAAGCCACAAGTGCCCACTCAGGGGCACAGAGGTGTCCTCTCTCTCACGTCCCTTCCCAGCAGGGACAGAAACCCTGGGACCCGGACTGCACTTACTGGAATTCCACTGGGACGGGAGAAACTGCACCCGCTCAGGGCACTAGAGCAGCTCCTGGGCTGTGTGGGCATCTCTGGAGGTGGGACACTCCTGACCCCAGACTCCTGGTGAGGGGGCCAGGGGTACCCCCACTGCCTGCACCTAGCAGACGCCCCGTCGGCCAGCACGTCTATCGAGGCCACAGCTACCCCACGCTGGAACCAGGGCTCTGCCCTCCTGGTCCCCAAGCCCGCACGCACCCCAGCCCTTCACACCTCCCCTGCTTCCCTGCCCGCCGCCCCGGGTGCCCACCCCTGCCCTGCTCTGAGCCTGCGCCCTCTCCAAGTACAGGCCTGCGGGGCCCTGACCGCCCCTCCCCCTCCCCGGCCCTTCTGCGGCCAGTGCCTGTTGCTCCAGAAGCCTGGGAAGCGCAGGGCATGGCGGCAGGCGCAGTCCGGCCTCTCTGCGACTTCTGGCTGCCCCCGCCCTCCCTCCGGCCCTTCCTGCCCTCAGACCCGGAGTCTCCAGACACTTCTGAGGAGGAGGAGGAGGAGGAGAGAGGGGAGCCAGGGGCCTGCTGCCCAGCTTCCCAAGACGCAGCCCCTCCCGGTCCCGGCAGCCCCGAGACCCCGCGGCAGCTGCTGCGCTTTTCCGAGCTCATCAGCGGCGACATCCAGCGGTACTTTGGCCGCGAGGGCCGGGGACAGGACCCCGGAGCCTGCAGCATCTGTGCCGGCAGCCGCCTGGCCGGCAGCTCGGCCCGGGAGCTCTACTGCTCAGACCCGGGGTGCCTGGCCCGGGGCGGGGCCCCGGAAGACGACGAGGCTGCCGAGCCCGAGGCCCAGTCGCCCAGGGGTCCCGAAGGGCAGGCGCGTGGGCCGGGCCTCACCCGGAACTCGGTGCTGCCGCTGGGGCCCCTGGCCGAGCTCTTTGACTACGGGCTGCTGCGGTGCTCTGGGCTGGGGGTGGCTGCCGGCCGCCGGCTGAGGCTGCGGCGCAAGTACGGCCACATCACCCCCATGACCCAGAGGAAGCTGCCCCCCTCCTTCTGGAAGGAGCCGGCGCCCAGCCCCCTGGGTCTGCTCCACCCCGGCACTCCTGATTTCAGCGACCTGCTGGCCAGCTGGTCAGCGGAGGCCAGCCCCGAGCTGCCTGGAGGGGGTATCCAGGCCCTGGAGGGGGTGCAGCTGGCCGAGGCTTAGCAAGAGGTGAGGGCGGTGAGGACTGCCTGTCCCTAGGGCGTCTGGACTCACTGCCCTCCTGGGAGGAGCCCCTGGGACCCTCTTAACCAGGGCAACCAGCAGGACAAACCAGCCCAGGTGGGGACATCACAGGCCCAGAAAGAGGGGCAAGGCTCACCCTGGGGCCTGGAGCTGCCACTGCAGAGGCCACTTGGGTGGGGAATGGGCAGGAGTCACTATACCTGGGCACCCCGCCCACAACAGGGGAGGGCTGGGCAGGAGCGGTGCCCCACCCTGGGCGAGCTCTGTTCTCCACCCGGACGAGACCCAGCCCGCGATTCCAGGTTGGCAGCAAAGGGCAGGCCTCCCACTGCCCAGCCACCTGGGAGGTCCCAGGGTGGCCCCTCCTCCAGGGTCCTGCTGCACGTGGCAGTACCAGCCTCTGTGGAATGAGCCGAGGGTTCCCTCAGAGGCGGGAATGGGCTACCGCCCAGTGCGTGCCCACACACCATTTGCTCCCTGGGTTAGGGCTGGAGAAGCCTTCCTTGGCCGGCCACCACACAGGAGTAAAGGGCAGAGCTGGCGGCCAGGGGGCAGAGGCTTGCGGGCTGGGGGCCTGGCTCTTGGGGAGGGTCTTCTTGGTCAGTCCCACAGCCTGGGCCTCATGCTGGTGGGAGGAACTCTGGACTCTGACAGTCACAGGGACTGGCACATTTATTTCTGGGAAAGGGACACGGATGTGAGCCGGTGGGCAGGCTCCCGGCTGAGGGCCTTCTCCAAGACCGTTCTCGGCCTCCTCTGGGCCACCAGGTTCATGAGGACTGCCTTCCACTGCAGCCAGCTGCTCAGAGGCACGGCTCATGCCCTGGACCTCTGCCTCCACCCACTGCCCTCGGCTCCCCCCCAGCACCCCCTGGGCCTGGAGCGTTCCCAGAAGGCGGCTCCTGCTGCCCACCTCATGGCCTGATACACGCCCCACGGGGACCACCTCGCCAGGTGCCACGTCCTTGATGAAGAACTGCTGCATCACTAGAGACACAAGGACGCTCTTGCTGCCCGGCGTCAGGGCCCCCAGGCCCACCTCACTCCACAGCCGCATCACGCCCTCCCGCAGGATGGCCATCTCCTCTGCGTGCTGCGGGCATGGGGGCCCAGCACTCAACCCAGGAATCCGACAAGAGGCCGGGGCTCACGCAGGCTTTACCTCCCTCTGGACGAACCAGGGTCTCATCTGCTGGGAAGCGCTGCTCAGTTTCCCAGACCAATGGAAGGGCTGTGGGGTGGGCCAGGCGGCGTGGGGAGGGGGCGCGCCTCTCACCAGCCTGCTCTCGGGGAAGCCTGAGGTCTGGATGGCTTTGTTGTCCTGAAGGCTGTTTTCCAGTTTTATCATTTGGTTCTGAAACTAGACTCAGCCTCCTGATGGGCAGGGCCCCCAGCTGAGGGCAGCCGCTACCTGTCACCGGGGCTGGGGTCCTCACCCCATGGGGTCTGGGTGCACCACCCAGCCCAATGCCCGCTCCGTTCACCGAGACTGCTAATACCCACAGTGCTTGCGGGCGCCAGACAGAAGCCTCTGCTTGGTGCTGCCAAAGGCTGAGACACCCAGCAGGAGAGCTGGTTCCTGAGGACTCCCTGGGGCCCCCTGGTCTGCTGAGCGGGACGGGCAAGGGTGCAGGTTTACCGTGGCCAGCTTGCCCTGGATCTCGGCAATCTTCTGCCGGCAGTGGCCATCCCTGAGGTGCTGACAGATCCAGCAGGGCAGCCAGCTCCTGCCGCATGGCCCCGACCTCAAACTCCCTGTGGGCACAGGGGGCCAGGCTGCGGGACAGGGAGTGGGGAGGCTCTGGGCCGGTCACAGGGGCGCTCAGCCTTGCCACCCTCTAGTGGAGACTGGGGTGTCCCCAGCAGGTGACAGAGGGCGAGGCTGGAGTCTGTGCAGGCTGCTACAGGGCAGGGGCCGGGAGGGGTGCCCCGGGGAGGCCTTGTCCACACAGTAGGGTGGTTCTGAGACAGCTGTGCCCTCCCCAGAGGGCGAAAGAGCTCGTCCACCCCGGGGACCACAGTCCTGCCAGGTGACAGCTAGGAACAGGGTCTCCCCTGGCTTTGCCCTCTGCAGAGATCTTGAGGTCAGAGTCGCTCTTGTGAAGGAGGCACTTGTCGGAAACAGCCTCTGTCTGAAATGCGGGGCCAGGTAGGTAGCCAAGGACAGGATGTGGGGAGCAGGGAGGCGGCGCCAGCCCTCACCCACCTGCAGAACAGGCTGCCCACCTTCTCCTGCGCCTCCCACGGGTGGGCCTTGGCCTCTTCCGACACTGAGCCAGGCCCTCCAGTGATTTCAGCTCCTTGCCTCCCAATTCTCTCTTTGCCTGGAACACGGGCATCAGTGAGGGTGGAAGCCGCCGAGCGAGGGTGGACAGGTGGAGGGCCCACAGGAGCAGAGATGGACCCGAGACAGTCATGCCCATGTGGCGGAGAGCTCTGGGGGGCTACGGGGCATGGCATCCACCTCGGGCTCCAAGCATGCCCACACAGCCCCCAGACAGCCTGGCTGCATGCTCTCTGCAGACCCGGGTCCCACAGGCAGGGCCCCAGGCTGAGCAGAGCTCATCCCTAAGAAGGCCTGGCTTGGCTTGGGCGTCCACATGAAAGCCTGCTGCCCACCAGGAGCTGGAAGGGACAGTACCAGAGAGCAACCTGCCTGCACCTACAGGAGATGGGGCGCAGGGGCAGCGGGGGCCGCCCCACAGCCTGGGAGTGTGCGCGCTCACAGAGGCGCTATTCACACTGCCAGAAAGGGCGACAGCCCTGCATCTGCTGGCCGAGGGACAGACAGACAAACCTGTATGTGCACACAGTGGGCCCAGGTGCACCACAGCCGATGGGCCCCGGCACGTTCCACCAGCGGGAGAAGCTGGATTCAGAAGGCCACAGAACACACCCAGAACACAGCTCCAGAGGCAGAAAGCAGAGCATGGGCTGCCGGAGGCCGGGGAGGGCAGGGGCACGGGCGGCACAGGGCTTCCTCTTGGGGGACGGAAAGTTCAAAAGTGACTGTGGTCACAGCTGTACAACCCTGAACATGCAGACAGCCACTGAATTATATGCCTTAAAAGGTCAAACTATGGTGTCAATCAAATGTCAACTAAGCTGTTGTCGAAAGAGAAAAAAGCACCTGGGGGTGGGGCCCACCTTGCTGCCCCTCGGGGGAGCCCCTGCGGGGACCTGGGGGACAGGTGGGTGGGTGGGATGGAGAGGCCGAGTCACCCGGCCCCAGGCAGCCCACGTCACCTCACTCAGCCTCAGGCTCAGGGCCAGGAAGCGGTCACCCAGGCCCTTCACCTGCCTGACTAGCTCAGCCACAGACGCCTCCGGGGCCTGGCTTCTCTCTCAGAGCTGGGCGGCCAGGTTGAGTGTGGGTGCCTGGGCACGTGGGGGCCCCTCCAGGGAGCCCGGCCAGCCCCGTGCCCTCACCAGCTTCAGCGCACTGAGCGTCTCCCACTGGGCCAGCTCCCCGGCCAGCCGCATGGCCTCCAGGCTCTCCTGCGGGTAGGCAGCTCGCTCCCCCACCCCCGCACTGGCTCTCCTCCAAGTGCCCCCTGGTGTCCCTGGGGGTAGGTGCCACCTAGACTGCCCCTCAGCGCTGGGCCAGGGAGGTGAGCCCGGCTGCTGTCTCCAGAACCCAGGGAGCCGAGGACGGAGTGTGGTCACAGGGGCCCTTTGGCCTGGCAGGATCCCAGTGAGGCCAGTCCCGCGGCCGGGCGGGTAGGAAGCCCCACCAGAGGGTGTGGCAGGCCTAGCCCTGGGCTCAGAGGCTGCGGGCCGCAAGGACGGCTCCTGTCCACCCACTGCCTCCCACACACCCCGACAGCCCCTTGGGACACGCGCCAGGCTGCCCGCATGGCCAGCAAGACGTGGTCCAGCGACAGCTGGTTCTGCTGCACCAACCTGGTCAACTGGACCACAGCCTTGTCCAGGCCCTGGCGCTGCCCACCCGGAGGCCTTCTTCCTGCTGCTGTGTGGGGCGGCCCTGAGCCCCCAGTGCCCCCAGGCGGCAGCCACAGCCGCCCACCTCCAGCTGCCCCTGCAGGGCCTGCACAGCTGCTGGGTCAGCTCGCTGAGCGGCTGCTGCCTGCTCTCCGGCTCCCCCTGCAGGCGGCTCTCTGCCTTCAGCCGCACGCACCCCGAGGCCTTCAACCTCTTCGGGGAGACGCACTGTCTGCAGGGATTCCCAGAGACCCAGGCCCAGCCAGCGGTCCCGGCACCCACCTGCTCCCGGGCCAGGGAGCTCTTCTGCAAGAAGCCGCACAGCTTGGCCTCCTTCTTCAGGAAGCGCAGGCTCATCTCCTTGCCGAGCTTGGTCACCTGGACCGGCGGGGTCGGTGGTGCCCGTGTGGTCGCCGTGGGCCTGGCTTCCCTACAGGATGCCCTCTTCCCTGCGTCCACCCCTGCACTGTCCACCCCCGACCACCTCAGGGCCTTCGAGTTGCTTTCTTGCCCAACCATCCTTATCAGAGGGGGCCCTGGGTCCTGTGTACCCTGTGGTCCCCAAGCCTAGCCGGGTGCACCAGGCTTAGGAGGCAGGCAAGGCTCCTGGGACCATATGGCCCCGAGAAGGCCAGACTGAGGGGCTGTGAAGGGCCTGCTGGCCAAGCTCACCTGGGTCCAGAATATGCATGGTGTGACCATTGGTGACACAGTAGTCACCAAAACTGTACCCCGAGCTGGGAGCCTTTGGCAGCACAGTGAGCATGTGTGAGCACACGCCTGTACACAGTCACACACCCCTGCACGTGTGTGCACATCCTTCCCCCTTGCCCTCCAGGCCCAGTGTGGGGCCCCTTCCCCTCTTTCTCCTTCCGCTTGGCCCCTTAGTGCTGCACAAGAGTCTAAGGTGCAGGACACGAGGGGGCAAGGCCTAGGCCAGCTCTATCTGCACCCCACACACCACATGGCAGGTGTGCCCAGCCCCCAGCAGCCTCCCCACCCCGCGTAGAGCACCCTGGAGCAGGGCAGGCAAACGGTTTCTGTAAAGAGCTAGAGAGCAGACAGCTTAAGTTTAGGGGACACGGGGTCTCTGTCACAGCTTCTCAACTCTGCGGTTGGCACAAAAGCAGCCATGGACAGTAGTAAACGAACGCACATGGCCATGTGCCGATAAAACCTTATTTACAAAAACAGGTGGTGGGCTGCCGTTTGGGACCCCAGCCCTAGAATGCACTTGGGGAAGAGCCAGGTGCCCATGAGCATGCCTGGCATGTCGGGATCCTGGGCCCCAAGGCCTTCTGGAGCCCCTGGTTGGCAGTGGGGGGGGGGAGCACCACCGAAGCTAGGCAGCTGGGCTATGTGGGCACAGCTGGGGAGCACTTGGCTGGTGCACCCACCCATGTGCAGCATGGTTGCTGGTCTCTATTTGCAGAGCTGAGAGGCTGAGTCCCAAGTCACGCCCCCCCCCCAACCCCACCCCAGTCCATGCCCACCTCCCAGGGCTCCAGAGCTGCATCAGCTGAGCTGCGTCATCAGGAAATTGACATCTACTTCCCCTAGAGGGTAGCACCCAAGCTAAAAATGGCTGTGGAAGGGGCTCAGGAGCCAGGGCCCCGTTTCTTCACCTGGGTGCCGGTCTCAGAGCAGCAGGAGCAGCCCCGGCCGAGGCAGTGCCAGCGGCCCACCTCTCGGGACGGAGGACGCACCCCCTCCCTCTCGGTGCTGTCTGGAGCGGCAGTCGCTGGCCACATGTGCTCCCCAAGCCTTTGAAATGTGGCTCATGTGCCCAAGGAAACAAGTTCAAGCTGTCTAACGTGTGAGCTGATTTCCACACACAGAGTCCCTGTGGCTGGTGGCCTCGGAGTCTCACAGCACAGGATCCGGAGGTCGCCCCCTAGGTCTGACCACACAGACGGAACCCAGAGGGCCAGCAGAGCGAGGAGGACCGGCTGGGGGTGCCGAGGTCTCTTCCGGAGGGGCCCTCTCTCGGGGAGCTCGCTGGCTGCCCAGATGCGGACCTGGCCTGGGATCAGCCTCCTTCCAGGGTACCTGCATCCTGGCCACCCCCCGACCTACCCTCTGGCTGGCCTCTGCCCGGCTCCTCTGCAGGGCGCCGCAGGCGACCTCCTGGTCCTGCTCTCCCGTCCCAGCTTCCTGGTCAGCTTGGCCAGCCTAGGGGCCATGGCCACAGGCCGCAGCAGCCTGGCCTACTACAGGGACTGGCGGGGACTCCGGACATGGAGAGTCCCTCTCAGCGTGGGGCCTGCACCTGGAGGGCCTAGGCCAACTACAGGCTGGCGGAGCAGGTGCACAACCCTGCCTGGGGAAACAGGCCAAGGACAAGACGCAGCTTCTGCCCCAGCCAGACGGCGAGACCGGGTCCCAGAAGCATGAAACCGCTGGGGCAGGGGGCGCCCAGGCTCGAGTCTCTATTTGCCCCAGAGGGTCCACAGCGGGGCCAAGGCCCACCATCACCCGGCAGCTTGGCGCTGAGGGCAGGACGCCTGCCCTGCTCGCTGACTCGCGCACGACTGCACAGTGGGTCCAGAGCCAGCCCCCGAGAGGGAGCCCGGAGGCGCTTACCTGAAGCCGGCCTCCTGCTCAGCATCCTGCCGCTCAGCGTCCTGCAGCGCCCGCTCCTTTCTGATCTGGGTCAGGGCCTCCCGGACAACCACCAGCCTGACACACAAGAGCCGCTTCTGCCCAGGGCTTGCCTGGCAGCCGGAGTCTTGACAGCCCTCGGGGCCCAGGTGACGGGCCAAGGGGCCCCAGCACTCCCCCCTTTCCAGGCCTCTGCGGGCAGCTGGCTCAGGCCAACCCTGGCCTTTGAGTCAGCCATGGATGTGTATCACTCAGCAAGCAAGGCAGCCAGCGGGGGTCAGGCTGCTGTGCCCAAGGACCGGCAGCCGCTGCTTCCCCAAAGCCCCTTCTCCTCCTGCCGAGGCCTGTGCTGCCCGTGTGGGGGTGTACCTCTCGTCCAGGACCTGCATCTGGTTCTGGGGCTGGGAGCTGGGGAACTGCAAGGAGCAGGGTGTGGGCTGAGCACAGACACCGGGGCTCTGGGGCCAGGGGTCAGGGATTTTCTGGGCCTGGGCAGCGGTGGTCAAGCTGGACTCAGTGCCCAGGTGGCAGCTCCCTGGCGCCTGGGACAGTGACAGCTCACCCTGTCAGGGCCCCCGGCTGCCTGCCGCAGCTTCCTCAGCTCTGAGTCTTGCAGCTGCACGCAGGCCCGCACCTGGAGCAGCTCCTGCTGCAGGCCCAGCATGGCATGCTCACAGCGGTCCTTGTGTCCCCGTAGGACCCACCCAAATGCCAGTGAAACCTCCCCCGTAGGGAGGCCACCTGGGCCTGCAGGGCAGCCACGCTGGCTGTGAACGTGGGCCGGGTTGGGCCAGGTGTGCCGAGTGCAGGCAGCATGCATCTCCTACCCGTCCGCCGCGGGGCTCACCATGGCTCCATCCGCTTCCAACACTCGGGGGGGTCCTGCTCCGGGATGGAGGCAGAGGACACCAGGTGGCTGGACTCATAGCTCTCCAAGACCTCGTCCAGACTCAAGGGCACAGAGCTGCCCAGCCCTTCCTCCAGGGGGAACCCCAGCTGGGAGTGGGGCGAGGCCCCCTGCTTAGGGTGGCTATTAGCCAGTTCTGCAAGAAGGCACCTCGGGGCTTGTTACTTGGCCTCCCAGGCCCATGAGGGGCACGGGCGCCCAGACAGCCGGGGTAGCAGGGGCCCAAACCATAGCAGGACTCACACAGGCAGCCGGCTGAGCCCCACTAGTCTGCCTGCAACAGGAAGCTCGGGCCGAGGTCTGCGCCCCTGCCTGAGGACACAGCGCTGGGCAGCAGGGGCAGGACAGCCCCCAGCCAGCTCGGGGGAGCCTGAGCAGTGAAGCAACCTGGGGTCAGGAAGCAGAGCCGCCCGTGTGGCCCCTGCTGCACAGGCACCTCCCTGGCCTGTCCTCCCAGATCTGCCCTAGTTGGCACCTGGCTCACCTGTGGCTCAGGCCACTGCCCCATGGCTGCTAAGCCAGACACGGGGGGGGGTGGTTTGGGGGGAGGCAGGGCTCAGAGCAGAAGGCTCGGGTGCCTTGGGGGGCCCCTGGGCGCTGAGGGGGCTCCTCACTTCCCTTCTCTTCCTGACGCCAGGTTGGGGACCAGCAGGGACTCTTCTGAAACCCCCTCCTCCCCAGAACCTTGTGACTTCACCACTTAACTGCCAGTGAAACCTGAGCCCCGTCTCTCCCCTTCCTGCAAGGCCTCCCAACTGCTGGCTTCTGGAAGGGTCCAGGGGCTGTTCAGACCCCAGGCAAGTGCTGCCGGCCTGGGTGGGAGCGATCGCTGGCCCTCTGGTCGGGGCACAGGAGGAAGGCCAGGAGTCCCAGGGTGGCAGAGTACAGCCAGGCCCACCTGAGCCGGACGCCCTGGGGCGTGGGGGCCGTCCCAGGGCCGTCCCAGAGCAGGGACCTGGGCACCTGCCTGGGCTGCGCTGGCAACCCCCTCCTAGCAGCCACGGCAAACAAGTAAAAGAGACTAGGCAGCAAGTCTCAGTCCACTTTATTTAACCCAACGTTATCTAAATATTGCCATTTCGACAAGTAATTGTCTCAAAACGGTAGCAAGATGCTGCGCACACCTTCCCCAGCTGAGTGTCCGGCGCCTGAGGCGGTGTTTCACGTCCCACCCCAGGCCACTGTGGCCCTTCGGCCCTCACGCCGCCAGGGGCCCCGTGCTCTCCCTGAGGTCACGCAGGCCCTCCCGCCGGGGGCGGACCGAGGCTTCCCTAGGTGAGTAAGGCTTCAGTCAGCCCCTCGCCCAGGCAAGTGCTGCCGGCCTGGGTGGGAGCGATCGCTGGCCCTCTGGTCGGGGCACAGGAGGAAGGCCAGGAGCCCCAGGGTGGCAGAGTACAGCCAGGCCCACCTGAGCCGGACGCCCTGGGGCGTGGGGGCCGTCCCAGGGGGGCTTCCCCACGGGGCACGCCTGCCTGTGGCCACACTCGAGCCAGACACCACGGAGGCCCGGTCCGGGGCCACCCCTGCCCCACGACCCCACAGGTCCTGCTGCCGGACTGCGGTCAGTGCTGCCAGGGACAAGGAGGCCGGCCCCGGCCACCCAGGTCCAATTCCTTTAATTCGCCAGTTCCAATCCCCCACCCCCACAAAAGGGGCCAAAACCGAGGTGTCTTTGTTGTCTAGAAGTGGGCTGGGCACGCGGGAATCACCCCAGGACAGCCCCACAGGGCCGGGGCGCACAGGACAACAGACCTGCCCTGCCTGGCATGGGAAGGCGTAGCACACTTTCTGCGGGCACACCGACTCATCCCAGAGCCCGCCTGTCCCAAGACTGGAACTGAGTGGCTCTGGAACATGGCCCACGGTCCTCTGGGATTGGGGAGGGTGTGCTGAGACCCTCCCGCCCAGCTGCTGCTCACACAGGTGCAGAGACAACCGCTCTTGTGGACTCCAGCTCAGGGTCGGGGTGCAGAGGCCAGTCTCAGCTCTCTTCCAGCTGGGACCCCAGCACAGAGCCTGCTGTATGAGGGGGTGGCCCAGGGGTGCCTGGGGTGAGTCTGGGCGGAGCCGCTGGAGCCTGTCCTCCGAGGCATCGCCCCAAGCGTCCAGGTGCCATCGCTACGGCAGGCCAAGCCGAGGGGCACAAGGCCCAGGGCCCCACTGCAGCCTCACGTCACCCAGGCTCGGGCTGGCAGGCACAGGCAGCGTGGTCCCTCTGAGCCGGCCCGGGTGACGGAGCACAGAGCCACGGTGGGGCCCGTCCTGGGGGCCTGTAGCCCTGGACCCAGGGACCCAGCTCACTCGCCATCTTACACACACACGCGGGCACACAGACACACACACACACAAACACGCACGTGCATCCTGAGCTCTGGAGGGTGCCGGATCCACCACCGCCTGGGCACGAGGCAGGGACCCAGGGCCTCACGTCTGGGCCAGCGCCAGCTCCTCCAGGCCCCCCTTCCCAAGCCGGTACCTGGCCAGGTCCTTCCTGGTCACCAGCCCAACCACCTGTGGGGGTAGAGCCAGGTCACGGTGTCTAGTATGCCCGTCTCTGCGGAAGCCCCTGCCCTGCGCCAGGAAGCAACAGTCCAGGGGCCCTGGCAGTGGGCACGTGGTCGGTCTGGGCCCCAGCTCAGGGCCCCACACGAGCTGAGAGCCAGCGTGTGCCCGTGACCCAGGCAGGCAGCTCAGGGGCCCGCACCCCCGCCCAGGGCTCTCTCGGGCGGGAGGCGGAGCGTGGAGGCTCACCTGATTGCAGTTGTCCACCACCACCAGGTGCCTGAGGCCCAGGGCCCGGAACAGCTTGAACACCCGCGGCAGTGACGCCTCCTGGAACGTGAGCCTGGCCTCAGCCTGCCGGCCACACAGCGCGGCCCCCACACCCGGCACGGCCGCAGGGAAGGGCAGAAGGCACTGGTCCTGCGCTTGGCCAGCTCCTCCGGCTCCCCACTGACCCCCACCCCGGGCCAGCAGAGGCAGCAGCCCCACGGGGTTCTGGAGAGACTCGCCACGGGGCAACCCTGGAGCGGGGCCCCCCGCCGTCTCCCTGTGGCCGCGGGCACCTGGGGCACCGTGTAGGGGCAGGGGTTCATGAACTCGGAGAGGTCCACGGTGCACCCGCGCTCATCCTGGGACACGTGGATGGACTGGATGGGCGGGAAGCGCGGGTAGGCGTCGCGGAAGTCCTTCAGCCTCAGCCGCCGCCGCACCAGGCCCGTGTTGGACCGCTCCACGAACACCTGTGGGGGGCGGGCAGCGGGCAGCATCGGCCCGGTGCCCGGCCCGCCCCCACGTGCCCGCCCCCAGCTACCCTACCTTATGCTTCAGCAGGACGATCAGCTGCGAACGCAGGATCAGGCCCCGGAGCCTGGCTGGCTGCGGGGAAGGAGGAGAGACTCCGTCTGTGGGGCCGGGGCCCTGGTGGGGACCCGGCCTCGAGGCACCGTCCCCTCGCCGCAGGCATTTCACCTGCACAGCTCCCTAATCACCGAGCATCCGCCCGCCCGAGGGGCAGCAGAACCAAACAAGCAAGGCGGAGAGGCGCTGGGGGCTGCAGTGTTTGGGGGAATTGGGAGAAGCAGCCCTGGGCTGGGCAAGCCACCCTGAACCACAGGTATGTGGGGAGGGGCAGGCCACGCTCCATCAGGACCTCTCCTGACAAAACGCACGGCCACGGTGCCTCGATGGACCGCAGCCTGGGGTGTGGCTACAGGACACGGCGTGTCATGGGCCCGTTTGTTCACGGCTGTGAGCAGGTCCTTTTGCAGCGAGCACTACGCTACGAACCTACAGACAGGCTTCCCGCATCCTACAGTGGGTGCCACCAGGAGCCCGGCCTCCCTGAGAGCCCGCCCCCGGGCACCTGGCTGTCGTGGGTGCACTCCACCACGGGGAAGCCGTTGTGACTGGACGCCGTGCAGCTGAGCACATCCACAACAACGCCCACCTTCTCCCGCCTCCGCAGGCAGGTCACCGGCGTGCTCATCACCTCCCTGAAAGAGCACCTGCCTCGTCAGCCATTGGCCTCGCCGTGCCTGGCCGTGCGGCAGTGGGTGCTGCCTCCACGGGCCCCTCTTTGCACCAGAGTTGAAGTTCAGCAGGCAGGAAGCTGCCCAGCATGGGCGACCCTCCGCGACCCATCTCCACGGACACTGGGACGAGGGCGCAGCCCCACACCCAATGCCCCCGGTCAGGCTGCGTGGGGAGGAGGCCCCAGGCCTGCAGGCCTTCCCCTGACCCACAGGGTCACCAGGCGGGAGGGGCGGCACATGGCCCGCGGGTACCTGGCCGTGAGCGAGTGGGAGGTGACGGGGGCCTCCCAGTGCAGGAAGGGCACGCTCTGCAGCTGGATGTGCACATCGTACAGGCCCTGGGGAGAGATGTGTGACGCGCCAGCTGCGTGCCCCGGAGGCGGCCGCGGGGGTGGGCTTCGCGGGGCCCCTCCCTCCGCCTCTGCCGCCAAGCCACACCTCGATGAAGACGTCCCCCACGATCTTGGCGGTCATGAGGACCAGCATGATGGGGAAGCCGTAGGTCACGTTGCTGGTGGCCTCCATCATGATGACCGTCAGGCTCAGCGTCATCCTCACGATGCCGCCTGTCAGGGGGTGAGCACCTGCAGGACCCGTGGCATGCCCCATCCCGCCCACTCTGTGCCCCGTCCATTCGCCCTCCAGGCTGCCCTCCAGAATGGAGTGAACACCCAGCCTCTGTATCCCCAGGAGCCAGGTGCCCCCACCTCGGGGCCCCACCACAGCAGCTGGGACTCACCCAGCTGGGCGGCGGCTCCCATCAGGGCGTACTTGCCGGGGTCCGCCCAGATCTGTGGGGAGGATGGAGGCGGCGTCAGCCCCCCACCACAGCCTGCCAAGAGCAGGCCACCCAGGCCCCAGGCCCAGCAGGGAGTCCCAGTTTGCACGGGCCTAACGGTGTGCCACGGTGCTGCCTCACGGGACAAGGTCGGGAACACCCCAGGTGGGCACGTCCTCCTGGGGGATGCGCCCGCTGGAGTCCTGGCGGTGTGGGGCAGGGCCCCTCCGGGCATTGAGGCAGGAGGCTGGTCCCGCGGGTGCGGGGACCACACCTTTGCAGAAGCCCTGCACCACAGGGGCACAGAGCGGGCCCAACAGGCCAGCGTGGACGAGGCCTGAAAGCTCACTAGAGGCCAGACGCCTGGGCCACAAACTCAGACGGGAAGCTGACCGGCAGCTGCCAGGGGCTGGGGAGGGGGACAGACGTGACTGCTTAGTGGGGACGCATCTCCTTCTGGGGGATGAGAACATCGAGACTAGACTGCCAATGGTCAGCCAGCTCTGAATGCGCTACATGGCCACTGAACCACATGCTTTTAAAAGATTGGGTCCTGTGGCAAGTGAATTACACATGTACAAACCTGTGTCTGGAAGGACCCCCAAGCAACGCACGACCAGAGTCTGTGGGTGCAGAAGGGGTACCGGAGGCTCACTGAGGCCTGCCTACTCTCACTTGAGATAAATAAAAAGAGAATACTCCAAATAAAAGCTAAGTGCCAAGGTGGCCAGTGACAGCAGGAAGGCAGGGCGCCTGGTACCCAGGCACCCCTGTCCCCAGCCCCTGGGCTGCCAACCCTCCCATGGCATGGTCTTTTACAGTGACAGTCTGTGCGGACTGCTTGCGTGGACTGTGTGCGTGGATAGCTAAGCTCCCAGCAAGTCCCCGTCAGAACAGCACCAGCTGGAAATCTCCAAGGCGGAGGAAAACCCCACGAGGTAAGGATTCGCCAGTCCACCCATGCTCAGGGCCCTGGGCCCCTGGCCTGGTGCGTGCAAAGCCTCACACTCACCGCAGCCCCCGTGAGGTAGGACAGGGATATGCCAAAGAGCCGGCCCCAGGCGGCCCCGATGAGCAGGGACGGGATGAAGACGCCAGCAGACACGGTGAGCCCGTAGGTCCAGCAGGCCAGGAGGAAGTAGACGAGCGTGAAGAGGCCGAGGGTCATGGGGTTATAGGAGCCTAGGGAAGGTTGGGGTGCTGGGGCTGCCACATGGACTCACACCTGAGCAAGGCCACCCTACCGGGTGCCCCATTCCTGCCTCCCATCACAGCCCAACCCCGACACCCCAAAGTCTCTCCATCCCCAGAGACCAGAATGCCGAGTCTCGGAGGCCCAGTCCTCCGAGGTGGGCCTGGTGCCTGGGCAGGATGGTGACCTGAAACTGAGGGAAGGCTCCCCTTGAGATCTGTGTGTGAACAGCTGGCATGGCAGTGCGGACCACCGACGTCTCTCAGGGGCTCTCGGCGCCTGGGGGAGGCCGGCAGCCAGCACAGATTTCCAGAACAGGAGGCTGCTGGGCGAGCCCCGGGGGCAGTGCCTGCAGGCCTGGACCTGCACGACAGCCCCGCTCGGTGCCTCGCAAAGAGAGCTCCGCCTCACCCCACTTTTAGAAAAGCCTTTCTGTTACATTCTGTGGACTCCTGTCACAGGTGCACGGAGGAATAAGGCCCAGGAAGTTCCTTGTGGCCTGGTTTGTGACAGCAAACGATTGGAGACAGCCTAAGGGTCCCACACAAAGGGCAAGACAGTGTCACGGAGCAGCCCCAGGGGAGGCCAGCTGGGGGCCGCGGGTGTGCGCAGCAGGCGCTGCCGTGGGCCTGCGTGCTGCAGGCGGGACAGCCGCTGCCCGGGACGCGCCCTGAAAAGCAGTGGTCGGCGCCGAGCCCACTGCTCGTCAGCAGTGCATGTAGTTGCGGGAGGCTGGCCACAGCCCTGGCATGCAAGTCACCAGGCTGTTTTTTGACCAAGAATGACCCGTGCAGTACCCAGAAGGAAAACATCCCAGGAGACAAGACTGTCTCACGAACCAACGCCCGAGCAGCTGCCCTCCCGGAAGGGCAGAGAGGTGCGGGCAGCCTGGCTGGGCTCCTCCAAGGCCCTTGCCACCAGCTGACTCCTGGGCTGCCAACTCCTGTCCTCCAGCGCACCCTGCCCCTGGCCAGGGCAGTGACCTCTGGCCTCGGGACACTCAGCCAGAGGCATCACCAGGCCTGGGCTCAGGCGAACATGGCCGACAGCCCGGAGCACAGGCACACACCTGGGGGGTCGTGGAAAAGGCCGACCACGCTCTTCTCTGGGGTGTTGAAGAAGGCTGCGGCCATGGAGTTGTACTCGCCATCCGCACAGAAGAGCTGCAGGGTTGGGGGGACAGTTCAGCAGGTGGAGTCATCCTGTCTGGGCAGCACTGGGCACACACACGGCAGCAGGGAGGTAGGACGCAGAGCCAGGCCTGGGGTGGTGAGACTTCCATAGGCAAGTTTAGCCCTTTAGGAGCCCTGGGCTAGACAGCAGGTCTGTCCCTGGAGCATGGGGACCCAAGGGCCACACTGACCTCACCCCCAGAACTCACCCATTAGATGCCTGAGGCAGCAGGCCCAGCCCCTCCCGGGCTGAGCAGAGCCCTCCGAGGCCCCACCTGCTGCTGGGGGTGGTTCAGAGCGCCGCTGGGCTGTCGACAGCGCAGCCTCACCAGCCCACCCCTCAGTCTATCCTGCTCTCTCGGCCGCCTGACCCTCTGCAGACGCACTGGCACGCTCACGTCTAGAGCCTCACCCCGCCTGGGGCGCAGGACCCCTACCTGGAGGGGGTAGGACACGGAGCTGCCCTGCAGGGGCTGGCAGTCCCGCGATGAGTAAATCAGCACGAAGGCGACCGTGGCCGTGACGGCAGCCACCAGCATGGCCTCGATCACCTGGAGGCATGGTCTGTGGATGTACCTGGAGCACACAGCCAGGAGGGACCAGCTGCAGGACGCCAGGGCAGGCAGAGGACAGGGGCAGGGGTGCCCACGGCAACCTGAGCTGGGCCTCAGCACACTGACTGGGAGGTGACACAGCGCGCTTCATCATCAATGCCCCCCGACTCCCTGGTGGGCGCAGGTTACCCACTGGGCACCCAGTAGCAGTGTGAGTTGGTGCAAGAGCACAAGAAGGGCCCCTAGGCCCAGGACCCACTCAAGAACCTGCTCTCCTTACAGCTGAGGCCTTCCACAGGGCCTGCGCCAGCCCGACTGCACCCAGATCCCAGGTCCCCACAGACCAGGCTGGGGCGGGCGCAGAAAACCCCAAACCTGGGCCCTTCTGGGCCACAGGCGATTCTCCCTGCCCTGCCTGGGGGGCCACCCCCAGGCCTCTCCTAGCTTGATCGCCCCCATTCTGTGCCAGTCCGTCCCCCCCAAACTACCATGGAAGGCAGCACACAGGGCTTCCGACAAGTCCATTTCCAAAAGCCTGGGGACACGGAGGCACCTGTCAACTTGGTCCACAAAACGGAGGTTTCTCACCTGATCCGAAACATCGTCAGCCAGTAATTCAAGGCATTGAACACAGCCCCAAGAACACCGCCTACAGCCAGGAAGGAGGCACATAAGGGGATCAGGGGGGAGGCGGAGGCAGCCTGGGAGGCGGGGGTGGCCAGGTGAGCTCTGTGCAAAAGTCCGGGCTGCACTGTGTCCCCGACAGACGGGCAGACGGACAGATGGCTCCTCAACACCTCAGCCTTCCTCCCGGGGAAAAAGCCTCCTCACACAGAAATGCACGCTGACCAGGCACGACCTACTTCTCAGAGGAGCCCCCGCCCCAGGGCCCCACCAGCGGAGGGGAGCACACCACCCCACCCCAGGCCCCCAGGAGCCACACGGGCAGGACGCGGAGGGCAGCCGGCTCAGGCGGCCCTGGAGCGGTGGGCGGGAGTGGGGCCGACCCGCCACAACACTCTGCTCCGCCGGAGGCTCCTGCAACCCCCCAAGAGTGACGGGGAAAGGGGGGCTGGGCAGGCTGGGTGCCACGCGCTGGCCCTTACCCACCACGCCCATGGCGATGAAGATGGGGATCTCGTGGATTGTGTACACCATCGTCTGCAGGGAGAGACCGGACGCCCCGTGAGGGGCCCCCGCTGCTCAGGCGGCCGCACGCACTCGGCCCACAGGCTCAGAGCCTCTGGTACTCTCTCAGGGCCGCGGAGGCCCTGGGGGACACCACTGGGCGCCGCAGCCAGCTGGGGCCCCTCCCACACCAGCTGCTCGGGGCAGGGCTCAGACGCCCCACCGGGCTTCCCTCTGAGGCTTCCACCTGCTCCCCAGTGGGGATGGCGGAGCTTTTGCTGAAGGAGGGCATGACGCAGGGGAGCCCTGGAACACAGCTCGTGACCCCAGACAACAGCGAGCTACAACATCCCCACGGGCACAAACCATGCCTGGAGTGGCTCCCAGCACACGGCGTCCCAGCGACGGTACACCCGGCCCAGGCCTCCCCAGAAATGCGGCTGGGCCTCCTCGCCCACTGTCAGCTGCTGCCCAGCACCCAGCCTGCCAGCCTCAGTGTCCCTGCCAGCATCCTTGGGAAGCTGAGCTGGACCTGCAAGTGCCTGCCGGGCGATGGGCCTCTCAGCAAACGCGGAGGCCAGGTGTGTGCTTCACCAGGGCCCTGCCACCCAGCCCCCAGAGCCCGAGAGCTCAATCCTGTGGCTGAGCGGGATTTCCCACAGGCTCCAGGCTCCGCTGGGCCTAAGGAACACGGCCCCGGCCCTCGCTAGGAAAGGCCCAGCAGGAGCAAGGGGACAAGCCAGGTACCTCTGTGTCGAATCTCCCGAAGTTAATGAGGCCTGGGCTGGACAGATCCCAGACGTTCCCGTGGTAAATGCTTAGCACGAAGTTCAGGGTGAAGGTGGAGATCATGGAAGCGAAGAACTGTGGGCAGAGACATGGGCGCCATCAGAACGTGGCCTCCAGCTGGGGCTCCAAGCCCGCCAGCCGACGCCCTGGAGGATGGAGAAGGGGCCCCAGAGGCTGATGGGAAGGGGACTGCCCCTCGTGCCAGGCCAGCTGGGTCACAGCTCTGACAAGTGTTGGGCCGAGCCGGTGACGGGCCAAGGGAAGAAGGGTGTGGAGTCTGGGGGTCCCGGTGAGTTAGCAGAGGAAGAGGGCAGACACACTGATGGGGGCGGAGCGGGCAGCAAGAGGACAGCCAGTGCTCCAGTAGGTGCCCGCAGAGCCGGGCCAGCATGGACTCATGGGGCATGGCTCCCACCAGCTGGACAGGGACCTCAGGTGAGAGCCCCAGCGCACAGGCAGAGCTGGGCAACGGCTGTCCACGGGCACTCACAATTCTCCACGTCAGGAACTGGTTCCAGAAGGAGGCACCCTCCTCCAGGCTGAACAGGACCCCACCTGGAACGACAATCAGCCCAGCCCTGAGTGGCCCATGCAGGCCACAGGAGTACCACCCCCACTGCCGCCTCAAGCCCCAAGGCCCTGGGGCAGCCAGCCCGTCGAGGCAGCCGGGGCCCCCTGGGAGGCCCCCCCAGCCGGCACTCTAGGTCTGCAAGCACCAAGACCCCTTCACACAGCAAGGAGAGCGTGGCGCCTGAGCACGGGCAGCCACGGGGCTCGCCAGACCGCGCGGGGAGGCAGGGCCGCCCCTCCTCACCCACAGGGGCTCCGAACGCAGCAGACACGCCGGCGGCAGCTCCTGCCGAGACAAAGTCCCGCTTCTCGGTGTCTCTGCGGAAGTACTCAAAGATCTAGAACAGGGTGGAGGGGGATGTTCTCAGCCAGCGTCTCCAAGGGCACTCATCTCAGAGAGGGCGAAGATTGGCTGAAGGCCCAGGACAGGGCCAAGGGAGGGGACACAAGGGAGGGGGCCCTGGGCAACTCGTCAACTCCTGGGGCCTCGGGAGCATGGAGCTGGGGCAGCGGCGAGACCGAGAGCATGATGTCTCAGCCACAGCAGGGGGGCTCCGCGGGCCGCAAGAGCCACATACTGAAATGCACTGACTCCAGGACACCTCGTGAAAACCCAGGGACCCAAACACTGAGGACATGCTCTCAGCTTAGGGACTCTATCCTGTGAAGTCACTAATTGCCTCTGAAATTCACACATAAGCCCAGGGCAACACACATCAAATCACTGGCAATGTTTTGGGGAAAGGAGACAAAATATCTCTGAAGTGTATCTTGAAAATTAATCATCTTTAATTCACACACATCGTTCCTGACCTCTTTCCGGGTTAACCTCTTCCTGCAGGTGCTGCGACAAAAGCTGGGGGCCCCAGCAGAGCATGCCTGCTTGGAGCATGAGGGCCCCGCTCCCCCAGGGCCCTTTGTGGTCACCCTCATCCCCGACACTGCCCCCCGGGGCTGGAGGAGCGGGTTCACCTTGAAATCCCGCTTCAGGGACGTCGACCTGCCCTGGGAAATCCCAGCAGCAATCACGGAGCCTGAGTGAATCATCGGTCCTTCCTGGAAGACACAGGGCAGCGCTCAGGCCACAGGAGCTCCTGGACCCACGGCCTCGGGCCACGCCTTGCTCCCTTACCTTCCCCACAGCCAGCCCGCCCACCACGGACAGGATCACTCCGGCCACCTTGATCACCAGCGTCTGCAACACAAAGGAAAAGACATCAGCTCTCTGCCCTGAACCGGAGCAGCCAACTGCGACCTGACGGCGTGAGTGCCCATTGCCACGGCAGGCGCCCCAGGGCAGGCCCTGGCTGGTTCTTCCCTGCCTTCATCCGTCTCCAAATGACGTACGCTGAGTGTCATGGACCAAGAGGCTGAGGACATGGCCACCCCCGCTCCGCAGGCCGCTGTCTCCCAGGTCACCACCCACCACCTGGTCCCTCCTGAGTGCCCCAGGTCAGACACCATCACCAGCGGCTCCTGCTGCAGGTGATGGGCACAGCCCTCCTGGCCAGCCCGCCCCCCGGGCCATGTCACCACA